GTGTCTGCCTGAGGCAGCGATGGGGAAACGTGGGGAACAGGCTGAGACCCGTGTGGCCCTCAGGGTGAATGTTTTTGGGAGCAGAAGGACAGACCCTGCCTTGGAAAGAGCCAAACCTGAGCTGAAGCCCCCAGCCTGGGGCTGCCTGACCTCCCTGCAGCCCCTTGGTGGCTGTCCCCTCCCTGGTCCCTGCACACACCCCGTGTAACTCCTACTCACAACCCTGAACCGGAGCAAGCCCCGGGTGTCACCTGAGGGCTGCAGGAGGGGCTGGAGCTCAGGGGGCCCCAGCCTGGCCCAGGAGAGCAGAGGATGCTGCACCAAGCCCTTGGCTCCAGGGTGGGACCCTCAGCCCTGCTCATGGGTCACGGACACCCTCCCGTGGAGGCCACCTTGTCACCTCTGCTCTGGTGCAGCAATGCTGCAAACAGATGGTGCTGTTTCTCCAAGGTTTTGCCTGTGGCCCCGGACAGAGATCCAGGACGGTGGTACCTGGGCCATTTCCAGGGGAATATCAGCATCAGAGCAGCCTTTCACTGCCATTTCTGACAGCCTGGGCTCTGTGCTTTGTGCTGCCATCGCTGGTGGCATCATCACTGGGGGGGGATGGCTGGCTCTGCCAACCCCCTGAGCACACTGGTAGGTCACCCAGAATGTTCTTGGTGGGTCTCATGTGCAATGAGAATTGTACTGTCAAAACACAGCACAGCTTGAGTGTTTTCAGGGAAGCTCTGGAAAGCTTCCCACACAGCCAGGAACTCCTTCCCAGTATCCCATCTAACCCTGCCCTCTGGCAGTGGGAAGCCATTCCCCCTTGTCCTGTCCCTCATGCCTTGTCCAAACTCCCTCTCCAGCTCTCTTGGAGTCCCTTTAGGCCCTGCAAGGGGCTCTCAGGTCTCTCTGGAGCCTTCTCTTCTCCAGGTGAACCCCCCCAGCTCCCTCAGCCTCAGGAAGGTTTTCCCACTCTGGGTGTGGGGAACAGAGAAGCCACAAAGGTGTTGAAGGCTTTTCTCTGGCAGAGCTGGATGGAGGATTTGCTCTGTGGCCCATTTTCCAGCTGGAAGGTAATTCTGGGATGTTTCAGCTGCCCTCAAAGGAGGGGAAGAGCAGCAGCACGACCACGGCACCGGGTTTTCACCTCTCTGAACTCCCCCAGCTGTGAGCAGAGTCACCAGGGCTGTACCTGCTCCATCAGGAGCATCCATTGGATGCGTTCAGACACCGCATCCCAACCCTCCTCAGGTTTCCAAGGCGAGGGAAGGGCTGTCACCCCCCAGCCGGCAGCTCCCGGGCACGCAGCCGGCGCTGGGTGCAATCGGAGTGACTGCTCCTGGCTCCCCGGGATCCGGGAGAGGCGGCGCCGGGAATGGATGTGACAGGTGGAGAAGAGGTACGAGAGGAGAGGGGGGAAGGAGCCAGAGGGAGAACCTTGGCTTCTGGGTCGGAAAGGAGTGGGGAAAAGTGGGGCTGAAGGGGGGTCTGACATAGGGGAAAATATCGTTAATAATGTGAGTAAATGAGGGGAGGGGAGGGAAGGGAAAAGGGGAAGAGGGAAGGGAAGATTAGGGAAGGTTTGGTAAGGGAAGGTTTGGGAAGGGAAGGGAAGGTTTGGGAAGGGAAGGGAAGGGATGGGAAGGGAAGGGCTGACACCACTTGTGGTCTCATTGGGTGTCAGACATGGGTGGCACAGCCCAGGGAAGGAGGTGAGAGATCTCCTTTTCAGCCCTAAGAAACCCTTATTCCCTCCCTCCCAGCCTGACTGGAGCTCCAGCAGGGATGTCTGCAACCAGTGCCAGCACTGGGGAGAAAACTAAAATAGGACATCAGGGAATGGAAGTATTTGCCACGTGGAAATATCTCTGCCTTGGGAAGGCTGGGATTGAGTGGGTTTGGGACTTTTTATTTTTAAAGGTGTGATGAAAATCAGATGGAATGAAGGGTAGGCACAGCTGGGGCTGTCGCTGGAGCCTCAGCACTGGGTTTTATGCTCTGGGGAGAAGTGGAACTGGATAAATCAGCCGGTCTGAGGCCAAAGGGGCCCAAAGCAGAGGCTCTGTTGACTGTTCTGGGGAGGGAGGTGCAGGCAGGGATCCATCTTGGAGCTGCAAGGGTGGGATGTGGGAGGTTTCTGTAGCCCAGCCTTTGGGGTGAGGAGCTCCTTCTACCCCAGGAAGCTCCCCCATTTCCATGTTGCTGACAGGAGGGTTAATGGTTGGGATGGTAGGGCTTGGTCTGGTCACCAGCAGGAATTGGCACCCCCAGCCACAGGCAAAGGAGGGAAGGACCCCAGGGAGGTGCTGTCCTGGCCCAGCCCTGACCCTCAGCAAGGGCAGAAGGTGCAGCAGGCAGGGGGTGGGGCTGGCAGCTCCCCACAGGCAGCTTTTCTCTAGAGTGGGGACCGTGGGCCACCTCAGACCGTTTTGGTGGCCTCCTGGCCATGTCTGTCTGTGCTGGGCCCCCAGAGCTGGAGGCAGCTCCAGGGGGGTCTCAGGAGGGTGGAGCAGAGGGGGAGCACCCTCTCCATCCCCTGCTGCCCACACTGCTGGGGGTGAGCCAGGACACACTTGGCTTTCTGGGCTGCCAGTGCCCATGGATGGGTCATGTCCTGTTTGTCACCCACCAGTAATACCCAGTCCTTCTCAGCAGGCACCTCTCCCTCCATCTATCCTTCCATCCATCCATCCACCCACCCATCATTCCTCCATCCCTCCATCCCCCCCCCCCTCCCCCCCTCCCTCTGTGCTGGCCCTGGGGATCGCCCTGACCCCAATCCCTGCCCTTACCCTTGGCCTGGTTGGCCCTGTGAGGTTCTCACAGCCCAACTGGGTGCCCCCCTTCCCTCCAGCTGCACCTTCACTGTGGTAGAAAACCCAATCCAGTGTGTCCTGGGTGGTGCAGAGGGCAGGGAAGGGCACAGCCCAGCCTGGGCTCTGCCAAGGAACCTGGGCAACCCCTGGGAAGTCCTTTGGCCACTTTAGCCCAGAGAAAGGACACAGCCATGAACCTGGGGGGGCTTAAACCATGACACACCCCCAGCCAGGCACAGCAGGGCTGGGAACATCTGCTTTCCAGTGGGATTTGGGCTGTTGGACACCCCACCCTGTGCCAGGCTGGATCCAAAGTGTGGAGGAGATCAGGGAGCAGGGCAGGGTCATGGAGCAGGGGGTATCTCGGGGTGCAGGGCAGGACAGTGGGGTGCAGGGAGGGATAACGGGGTGCAGGTGGACGATGCCCACCGGGAGGCAGGTGGAGATGCAGCTCATCCATCCTGGTGTGCTCTGCCCACCCCTCCACCCCACTTGCTCCTGGGTAAGCCAGGCCATGGCAATTGGGCACAGGAACTGATGGTGTCCCCTGGCAGGGCTCACCCCGCTGGTAGGGGCACGGGGGTGCCCAGGGGCAGCACATGGAGGGCAATTCCACACCCTGGCTCAGGCTCTGCCCCCCCAGTTCCCATCACACCCCAACACCAGCAGCACCCCAAGCTGTGGGAGAGGGGGACAAGCCAGCAGCAGGTGAGGGGGGCACCCCCTCCTTGTCCCCCCTCATCCCCAGAGGGGGTCCCACAGGGCTCTGCCACCCCTCCCCAAGCTGAGTGTCCCTGTGGGTGCAGCACAAACCCCCCTTTTTGAGCCTTTGCCAAGGAGACAGGAACTGGGAACAAGAGGCCATGGGGCAAGACCCTGCCAGCCCAGGGACGTGGGATGCCCAGGGACACAGAGTGCCCAGGGAGGTGGGAATGTGGGACATCCAGGGATGTGGGATACCCAGGGACGTGGGATGCCAGGGACACGGGGTGCCCAGGGATGTGGGATGCCCAGGGATGTGAGAATGTGGGATGCCCAGGGACACAGGATG